GTCGACCCATGAAGCCAAAAACTCATTCCGATCAACTAGCCAAAGCCAAACACGTGCTGTGATGACCCATGATAGACACAAAAAGTCCAACTAGATTAGTGAAAACGATGAACCTGATGTTCTTGAAAGAAAAGAGTGGTCACTCAGGAGAACGGTGGAAGTGCTAATCAGAAGAGCGGTGACGCTTTCGCTGCAGGAAACGCTGCATGCACTGTTTGCAAAGCTACTTCCGTACGACCCACTGCAATGGTAAGTAAACTAGCTCGATGAAATCTGAAGCATACATGGATGTGGCTGCTACAATGCATCGTTAAAGATTACTGACGGAAACGAAGCATTTCCTCTGAAGACAATGCATGAAGCGGTTGATCGGGAGCTTACTGGCAACTTTATGCCTTCCCATAATATCGCCTGGACTATCAAAACAATCATGGCTGACGATGGTCATGGGGCCTTACCCGATCCTACTTCTTGCCATGTGCGTATAGTCCAATATCACCACTTACACTCAGCTTGTTATTTAGTGAGAAGGCACGCGATCCTGGTGGTGCTGTCTGCAGTGTCTCGGCACCCAGCTCGAGCACAGAGTCTACCCCTATGGCTGCCCCCTGTCCAGGCTGGGACTACGTGCCTTACAGTCCTGATAGATGTTTTTGCAACTGCAGCCGGTGACTGTCGCAGATCCATTCTTGCCTGCTGAAGAACTTAGCGATCACACTTCCTCATCAGCGCTATTGCAAATGAGAAGCATTTGTGATGGCGTCGAAGTGAGTTATAGCTATTAAACAAATGTGAAAAAAGAAGAGAAGAACGGCTGGCGCTCTACCAGCCTTCAATGCTTTTGCTCACCTGACTTGTAGCAGTGCCTTTTTGAGGAGCTCCTGGAAAATATGAGTAGCAATTATCGCCCTCATACGCCATCTTATAATAGACTAACACCTCCGAAACTAGTTCCTTATCTATTTAGTGCACTTCGAAATGCTGGCTGCTTGTGCGGTATGGTAAGATTTTTAAGTGGCCAACATCACTTCACTTCTACCGAGGAGAGAAATTAGAGAAGAGCCAAATCGCTAATGATACACAGTGCACACACAAAGATTCACTATCCTCAGAGCCTTCAAAATATGAAGTCATTCCAAACCGCAGGTGGGCAACACGATTTGGGAGCGAATCTTGGAAAAAAGGGGCAGTAAGAGGTGGGTGCCCATAATACTCCTTTGGCCTTCGCAACTTCATACTCAGCACTCGTGGGCGGGTTTCAGGAATGTCGATGTGATTGTGCAAAATCCGTGCCCCTTTTCAGTTTGAGCAACGTCAAACAGGGTCATCTGTTCGAGTTCCTGTTTGAAATGCGAAAAAGGGAGATCATGAGTGCGACAAAAGGACATTCAAGAAAAGCATTCTATAATTCCCCGAGTCTTCGCATAAGGTTTCACATCTACTGACACCTCTTTCGCCTCTACTTTCTCGTTTTTCGCCGTCACATCCCATGCCCAGAAGCTGGCTTTTTTGAACAGAGCATTACAATGCCGTCATTCACCTCGAAATGGCTCAACCTTATAAAAAGCACTTTTTGGAATTTTTTTCGGTTCATTAATCGCGGGTACCGCTCGTTCATACAAGTTTGAGTCCCATTGCCCACATGCTGATCGTGAGGATGTATGTCATAATTTCGAGCATGGCTATATTATATTCCTTGTTGTTGATCAAAATCCTAGATGGTAAGTTCTTGGACGTACTACGTATAATTTATAACTCACCTTGTTTTGAAAGCAGCTTTTCTTGAGAAAGAGTCCTCATCTGCGTGGGAGGACGTTGTTGTTGAGGACGATCAGCAACTCCATAAACCTCTGGGGTGTAACCTGGCTTTTTCGGCAAATTAGACCCATTATTGGATCCCATCTGAGGTTTCTGATTAAGATTAGCCATCGTAGAAGGCATTTTTGGTGGTGGCTGTGCTAAACCAGGCGGTAGTTTTCCATCGCCGTAATTTTCCTCTCCTTCTGACGGAATTTCGGAAATTTCGAAACGTTTTTTCGGTTTTCCGTCCGGGTAAATCCAGTAATCAATAGCTGAGTCCGAAGATCCTTCTCCCTCTTTCGATGGGACAGGCTCTTGAGGTTTTTTCTGGGGCTTTTTTCTGTACATTTCGGGAATCTCCACTTTCGGGAGCTCTCGACTTTCTCCCTTTTTCATTACTTCTCTGCTCCAAAGTTGCCTCTTCAGTCTTTCTCGCCTTGAGTTGCTAGATGCTCTCCTTGCTCGTATCGACCTCCTAGAGAACTCCTCTTGTGTTTCCTCAGCTTGAGTAGCCAATGTGGCTGCTGCCTTTTTCTTGACCTTCTTAGATCGATCTGCTAGCTTTTCCCGAGAGAATTTTTCTCTGAAAAAGCTCTTTCTCCGCCCCCGTTTGGATTCTGTATCCTCTCCTGTGCCCAGGGCAATGCCCGTTTTCATATCATCATAGAAAGGTCCACTTAGCTTCTTTTGTGCTCGTTTCTCCCTGCTGGAGATCTGGTCTGGCTTCCTTTGTGCTTGACGTTTCTCCCTCCTAGAGCTTTGCTCTGATGGGCGAACCCTTGGTTTTCTCTGGCGTTCCTCCATCGTCCTATCATTTCGTAAACCTTCCTTTGACCTTTTCTTTCTTAAATTGAATCCTGGTCTAGCAACTTTCGGCGGCAACATAAGTGACTGTCTTTCTTTCGGAGTCTTTGCAGGAGCAGGTGACCCGCCATCTTCCTTTCTCGCTTGCATTTCTTTCTTCTTATTAACCAGTTCTTTCAATTTGTTGAGCTTTGCTGCCTCATCTTCATCTCGTCGCTTTCTAACCTTTGCAGATTCGTCACTCTCCTTTTTTTGCACCAGCTTTTCGTCACTAACTTTTACCAATTCAGCTTTTTCTGTGCTGTTTTTCTTTACTTTGGCGGATTCATCGCTCCCCTGTTTTACTATTTGGCCGCCAGTCTTCTTGTTTAACTTAGTAGAGGAATCGCTTTCTTGCTTTTTCAGAGCCACTTTTTCGACGCTATCATTTTTGGTCGCATTCTTTGCTTCTTCGCCACTCTCTTTTTTCTTCTCATTTTTCTCAGGGCTATTCTGGTTGGCCACTTCCTTCTTTGCACCGGATGGAGCTGTTGCTTTTTTCACTACAGCCTATAATAAATCACCTTATAACGTTTGCCCGAACGATCAAAAAGCTATCAAAATCTCATAGTCCTAGAGCTGCTTCCTTCGACATTTCCACAAAGATAAAAGCAGTCTATGCTACAGCTTACTGCTTACCATTTGCTTGGTGTGTCGGTATGCCTGTCCGCTAACTTTTGTGAACAGAATGACATACCGATGCGCCAAGTAAATGGTTTATGTCATGGGTCCTTCTATTTTATAAACTGCTAAGTTGGTGTGTCGGTTTGTATGTATGTGTGTATGTATGTATGTGTGTCCGTCCGCAAAATGAAGTGAGTGAGAAGGAAGCTCATGGGATAAACAAACCGCTAACAAATCGGGTAGCTTACAGGATTTGAGATATCAATGTTTTGTAGCAGGATAGTTGTGATAACATCTCTACGGCTATGTAAACATTTACTTACAAGGAAAGGCTCTCAGGTCGCCATGGCCATTTGAGAAGAGATGTATACCTCTAGATGTGCCTTTGAACGCTGATCTCAAATCTACCTTCCAAATCTGCTAAACGATTCTCTAAAGAGAGT